CACAAGCCTGAGGCAAATAATTTTTTAGTATAATTACCCAGATGATTATAGAAATGAGCAAAGGAATGTTAAATTTTATTTGTCGTTGTCACGTGTCAGTGAACAACTGAGCGAGAGCCGCTTGCACGGACAACAGACGATCATGACTAAAATACCACAAGAGTACATACGGGTAACATACGAGTAACATACGAGTAACATACAGAACATATGGATACATACGAATACATACGACTAACGTACGAGTAACATATGAGTAACATACGACTAACATACGAGTAACATACGGGTACATACGAGTAAAAAAATACGAAAAAGTACGAGCAAAATTCATGCGAGTAAATTTTTATGCAAAGTAACACACCGGTGTTTTCGCTCGCATTGTCATTTCACTGTTCCGCTTGGAGACACGCGGTTAAACAATACTCGCGTGCAAGGAGTTAAGATGTAACTTATTAACTTTTACTATTTTTATCATCCAATTACAGGTCGGAGCCATTCCTGTATTTAGTCGCTAGTTAAACACACGACGCCATGTTAAACTCGTTGACTCGGGATAGACTGGGAACTAGTCGACTGGTGGTGGACAGAGAGGGTAGCAATGGATGATTTGATAAGTTACTGAGCTTTTTTTTTTTATTGAAGGAAGGCTGGTCTAGGCTCATGCCGTAAGAGGTAGTGAATAACGAACTACTAGCAAATAAAGAGACGAACGTTGCTTAATTTTAAATGGCCAACTTGTCGATAAGGTTGCTGGACAGGGAAAATTTTGACCTTTAATTTGCGTTTTGGGGCCTTTGAATAGGCGATCGACGTAACCAGGTCAAGCAGTCTTGTCTCGTTGTCGGGATTAAAACGAATCAATAAGAGCCTAAAACACAATAGTAATTTTGAGTAATACTACCGTAGCCCACTTTGAAGTCTTGCTTGCAGATTCACTTGAAGAAACCCTATTTTATTTTTTGTTTTTGGTTTTTTTTTAATACAGGGAGAAAAAACTCGGAAAAATAACGTCAGACTATGTTATGTCGTTAAAGCGTATACTTGTACGAAAGATTTTATGACAATTTTGTCCTTACTATAATTACATTTATTACGTGACATGATCTTCGCTCCATTTTCTTGCGACAATATTTACATTGCAGTCAGAAGCAAAATGTACAATACAAAATGAGCTGCTCATTTTCAACTGTTGACAGTGTGTGCGGTCCAACACCATACGCGCCAAATGAGCTTCATGTTATTCCTCTAAAATCATGCAGAAAGGATTTAACGCATTTCTTTAACTAACCTGGGTGTCAGTGGAAGTCGAGGCTTCGGGACGCGGATTAACGAAGCTGATGTTATTCTCAATCTCGCCGGATTGCTTTCACTGTCAGAGGAAGACAAGGAAAGGATTACCGTATGTCCAAAGGATAGATATGAATTAACAACACATTACCAGAAATTAAAATCCGGTTGTTCTCACCCATCTCACAGAGGTGAAGCAAAAAAATTAAAAAATCCTCGTCGGGTTAACAAACAGGTGTCGGAAGAAATATATCAGGAGTTTCAAGTTTCAGTTCCAATAGGATCCGGTAACTACAATAATCAAGCCAATATTTAAATTATTTCCACGCAAGTTCAGTTGCGAGGAGTCACTGTAGCGAAACCATTTCGGAGCCGAACGGAGTTTAGGAGTTCTCTACCCCGGAGTCAAGATCCGATGTAAGTTACGCTTGTAATATTCCTCATTTTTATCATTTCTAGTTTCGTAGTCTTTCGTTTTTCCTTATATCGAACCTTTATGTATCCGTTCTATAGTTTTTACCGCCTGTGCTGTACAGACTGCCAGCTTAAGTGAATAAAAAGTTTGATGCTGCTGCTTGTCTACAGTTCAACACTGTGGTTATACTGGCGAACTCCGGTGCACAACACCACGTGTCTGCGGCATCGGGAACGCGACACACTTGCAAATCAAATATTTTTTCAGTCCTATGTAACACCTGTCGAAAAGGCCATTCAACCAGATTAAAAGTGGAGGATGGTACCTCAAAATGTGAGGACGAGTTTAAGGTAAATGTTTTAAATTACAAGTAAGATTACTGTTTCCTTGGACGATATCTAAATTTAACTTCTTTATTTATTCCACGCGGAAACAATTTTGTGATGATGCCAATAGAGTTAAAAAGTTGGGCGTTGCATGTTCTACGTAAACGTGATCTTTTTTATTCTCGTTAGCGTTCTTGACGGTCTGGCAGCTCTTCCTACCCGTCTCCTATCATATTTANAACAGGTGTCGGAAGAAATATATCAGGAGTTTCAAGTTTCAGTTCCAATAGGATCCGGTAACTACAATAATCAAGCCAATATTTAAATTATTTCCACGCAAGTTCAGTTGCGAAGAGTCACTGTAGCGAAACCATTTCGGAGCCGAACGGAGTTTAGGAGTTCTCTACCCCGGAGTCAAGATCCGATGTAAGTTACGCTTGTAATATTCCTCATTTTTATCATTTCTAGTTTCGTAGTCTTTCGGTTTTCCTTATATCGAACCTTCATGTATCCGTTCTATAGTTTTTACCGCCTGTGCTGTACAAAGACTGCCAGCTTAAGTGAATAAAGAGTTTGATGCTGCTGCTTGTCTACAGTTCAACACTGTGGTTATACTGGCGAACTCCGGTGCACAACACCACGTGTCTGCGGCATCGGGAACGCGACACACTTGCAAATCAAATATTTTTCAGTCCTATGTAACACCTGTCGAAAAGGCCATTCAACCAGATTAAAAGTGGAGGATGGTACCTCAAAATGTGAGGACGAGTTTAAGGTAAATGTTTTAAATTACAAGTAAGATTACTGTTTCCTTGGACGATATCTAAATTTAACTTCTTTATTTATTCCACGCGGAAACAATTTTGTGATGATGCCAATAGAGTTAAAAAGTTGGGCGTTGCATGTTCTACGTAAACGTGATCTTTTTTATTCTCGTTAGCGTTCTTGACGGTCTGGCAGCTCTTCCTACCCGTCTCCTATCATATTTATTTAGGTATCAAAGTGGAGACCGCGATTAATCTGATTTCGCCACAATGTTCATCGGCCTCTGAGGGCCGAAGAGGTGGGGTGCGGTAGAAAGTGCCCCATATAACTCTGTAATTGCTTACCAAACAAAGGTTTGCATACGTTAACTACCAGTACAGCAGCCTGCCAAAACATCGTTCATTTACACACTATACAGATGTCAAGCCACGTGACTAAATTCTAACACGTCGTGTATTTCCTCTAAAAATAGTCGTAGAACCAGGTCCCTATCAATGGTTCCCCCCCCCCGCACTCGTAGAAAAGGGATAATAAGTTCCTTCTCCCCCTGTCTTGCTTTTCCCGGCCAGAGAACAACTAAAAAAAAAAGGTCAATATTTCTAAATTTTGGCCAAACGCTTAGCCGATAACAAATACTTAAACAAATA